TGATTTTTTCGAAGTTTCTCAAGAACCATTCGAGCCACATAATTCGTCCCCCCATGACCCCCCTGGATGCGCCCTTGATTGAATGTCTTCTGGCGTGCAGGAAAGAATGCCGATGCATTCGCGCTAGTCCCAACGTTGCCAGACATTGCAGGAAGTGTGTGTTAGGGGGGTCTTTGAAAGCAACAAATCGTTAAAAATCGTCAATTTCTGCAGTCAGATTCGCAGTCTGGCAACAGTCGTCTGTAATGCGATTTGATAATTGCTGGTTGGTCGAGATTGAGTTATTACAGTTATTAGCAAATGCAGTTTTCGATATCTAATATTCGATCGAAAACTCTGCATTCTGCTTAAACAGTTATGCAATTTTCCTCTGGTTTTAATGGGTGTTGGAAGTGGAAGCGAAGCTTTTTGCAACGAAAATGTCACATACTTCAAGTGTTTTAAGAATATTGCCGACTTTTGAAAATTTAGCAAATAAAACACTGAAGCAAGTTTGGAATGGATGCAGTAGGTACCAACTACGCAGGGTACCAAGCAAAGCCGACAACAGCGCAATCTACATCTTCACCTAGCAGAATTAACACTGGGTGGTTCGGTTGGCAAGGCCGCCTCCAAGCACCACTATAAATTCGTAGGTTCTCTTGCAAAATCTTTCAGTTCATCACTTTTTTGCGCGCGAACGCGGGAATTCGCATAAGAGTCGATTTCTTATGTGCTAGCCCGCAAAGTACGTCAATTTTCTCGCCTTTTCCCCGGTTTGATTAGTGAGCAGAATAGCGCGTTCGGGCTTGAAAAGTGTTTCTTTTTCTGCTTGCAAAAAATAATGCCACCCCAAGAGAAACTCGACCAGCCGAAGAGGACTGACGAGTCCCATTGCTGCGAGGAGGACAGGCAGATGGACAACTCGCTATCAGGGTAAGATGCTCTTGAGGAAATATTCCCAATTTCCCCAAAATCCGGCTGACATTGACCGAAAGTTGTTTCGCAGTCGCGATACTTTCACAGTCGGTTAACATGTGAAAACCACCAAAGAGAACGCGCTTAAATTGGAGCAAATCTCGCGATTTTAACGCTGCGAAATAATCCGCCAAAATCCCATTTAATTCCCGGATCTTTCGAAGATACTTGGCGCATTCCTTTGATCCTCACGAGATAAAACCCGCAATTGCTGCAAAGATGACTTTTTCCAGTTAAGATCAAATGTGATAAATTAGACATCAATCTTATTTGAACCTTATCAATTTGTTTTCGATCCATTGTAATCGTTCAAGCGTTTTACCTAGAGAGTGTCATTCAAAATTGATTTAATTTTTTCAAGTATGGAGAAATGTTGAAAATTTGCGGTTTTTCAGTCACCAGCTCTCGAAGCGCAACAATCGATTTGCGGTTAGTTTTTCAATTGTGCTCCTCAAAACTTAAAATATTCAACAATGTTCGAAAGGTGCTAGAAGCCAATGGCAGTTGAACCACGGATTTTACTAAACGAAGCGCTAAATTTCTACAGTCCAATTAACTTTTTTCTTCAGACTGCTTCCTTTTAACCTCAAGCTTAACCTCAAGTGGTTGTGATCATGATCATAAATTATGGTTGGCGCCAAATATGTCAGTGTTGGGACGTATTTTTGGTTAGTTTTCCAAGTTGTGCTCCTCAAAACTTAACATTTATAAAAAGTCAAAGAAATGTAAATCGCTCCAATTTGTCGCACTTTAGGCGCTCGAAGCCAATGACAGTTGAAGCAGAAATTTGTCTTAACCTGGGGTTAAATGCCTTGTCCGATTAACTTTCTTCTGCTTAAACTTCGCCTGGAACCTCAAGCTGCGTGTGGGCTTTAAACATGTTTTCAAACCATAAAAACTGATGTTTCATAACAGAAGAGATCGCATTAAAAATTCTAAATTGTACCCTTCAAAACTTCACCTGGATGACATTGGATGGACTCTAGATCGGTCAAATCTGGTACAGTTCAGACGCTCGCAACCAATGACGTTGGTTGAATGAAGCGAAAGTTGAATCATTGATTGGTTAGTCAGAGTGTATGCATATTTTCTTTAATCTCGAAGTTTGCTTGACCAAAAACTACAAATCTGCCAGTCTATTAAATAGTTTTTGCCGGAAAAAGTCCTTAGGGTTTTTCATCTGGTTGACAAATCATGAAAAAACTTGGAGCAAAGAAAGTTAGGGAAATTACCTTCTAGAATCAATACTTTTTCAATAGTATCCATTCCTGTTACTGAGAAAATTCAAATTTTTCAGCCCAAAAGTCTTGGTTAAGAGGCTGTATATTTTTGCAGGTTTCTTCGCAGCTCTTTCTAGTACATTTCATTCGATATCTTTGAATCTCGTTTTTTTTTCAAATGAGAAACCGTCTTTGCATTGTCCACCCACATCCACTGTAATTCTAGATTGAAGGTAGCAAAACAGGAAACAATGATTTTCTAGACGAATAATAGTAATCACGAAAGTAAGCAGGAAACCACAAAAGAGAACTTGAACATAAAAACGAGACATTAATCTACACAATTTTTGCAGATTCACGAATCGAGGCTTTTCGTCGGACGCCAACCACAACGACAAGGAAAAGGCCATCGAGATGTACGCGGAAAAGAGCTCGGAAAAGCGCGATAACTTCGACTTTGACGATCTGTTTCCGCACATCGGCGAATTCGGCTACTACCAAATCTTCCTGTTCCTGATGATGATTCCATTTGCGTTCTTCGTCGCCTGGGTTTATTTCACGCAAATCTTCATCACGCTGGTCCCGGAGAGCCATTGGTGTTGGGTACCCGAACTGGAAAATCTCACCGTTGAGGAGAGGTGAGTGGTGAAAAGATTTCCAGACCTTTTATGTTAAGAAATTAAAGCAATTTAAAAATAACGTGGAAGTTGCTGATTTCAAGGGATTATCCATCAGTGAGTCAGTTTATTTCTCACTATCACATTAAGCAATTGATCGCAATCAATTGCCATAAATAGCTTTTAAGGTACCTACTTCATGTGGCTCGGAACGGCGCAGTTATGAGTAACCGTTTAAATGCTTAATCTATGTACGGTATTAAGTGATTTAGCCGGTTATTATATTGCGATTTTAATTAATCTGGGCGTTGAAAACGTTTTAGAGCCATTCGATCATAAACTGATCACCTGAATGGGTTTTTCCCCAGTAGAAGCTGCGCTTTATTCCCCAATGAAACAAAATAAAGTAGTAAAATTCGCATCTGGGCGAAGCCTTCGACCCGCTCTTAAGCGAGCCTTAAGAGAATCGATCGCATACTATGCATGAATGACGCCACTAATAACTGCACTCGTTGAACGCATTTGAAAAATAACTAGGATTTTTACTATATTTTGTTGCCTTTGTGCCCAGCAGGATTTTCAATGCATGTCACATCGTTATTAGAGCGGAACGGTGCAAGTGGATTTATGTACTTTCCGCAGGAAAACTCACACCCAGCCAGCACATCTTGGGTGACTGAGAAAAGTCCAATTTAAAAAGGAAAGTTTCACAACCAGCAACTTAAAATCTGGTTTGGTCTACTACTGAAAAAATGTCTAGTAGTTGGTTCCAATCGAGAATTGCGGCAGCAGCATTTTCTTTATAACGCGACGAAGAAAACGCGTTGACCTCGCGGTTCTTCATATCAATTTCTCATAAAGAAACGAAATGAACTGTTGACTGAAGCACTGAATAAGGAGAAGAACCGAATGAAATCAGTCGAATTATTCGAGTTAAAAACGCGAAGAATTCGAATTAATAAACGCGCGAAGCGGAGSAGGCGACATTTGAGTTTATGGATATTTTAGGAAAATCCGAAGAAGAAGMAGTTATTCAAATTATTAACATTATAATTCTTCAAAAAAATGTTTCTTTTCTGACACTCTTTGACTACTTGGACTTCAAAAGAGACACAAAAACGGGGTCAAAAATAAAAATTTTCTGAAAAGAAGATTCAAAAAGTTCTATGTGACGAGTTGAGAAAAGAATACCTTTGAATTGAAGTGACAATTTTGAAAAACCAACCAACTTTCTCAATTTGAGGCCACTTGAGACACTTTTGAGGCGTAAAATTTACTTAGAAGCTACTTTACTATTGCCAGCGTAGGCTTGAAACGGTTTTTCAAACTAAGTCAAGAACCTCAAGCGTATTTTCAATTTGCAATTTGAAATGCAATCGATCGCCGCTTCTTCAGCTCTCAAGGTTCACTTGAAAAAATCATTGGAACCAGTATGCAAACAGCTGGTACGCAGCAAGTTTTGTCGCTAATATTGGGGTTTTCGGACAGACAGAAAATTTAGCGTGTCTTTTCCCGAAATCCATTGATAACGATTTAGAATTTTTCAAATTTCAAAAAATTCAAATTCCCCTGAAGACAACTTTGACTAAGAAACCGTAACAGAATTTAAGCATGGTGTGCAATATGGACTTAACTAATTCGAATTATCAAACACTAAATTCTCGATTATAAAACGAGTCGATTGCACCTATAAATATACCAAAAATTGTGTCGAGCCCGAAATTTCACACTCCACTAGCTTAAAGGTCTCGCCGCTAGTTTTCAAACCGTTTTACAATCTATGGCTGAAAACACACATTTCGAGGAAAAATCCCCGATTTCAATCATTGTTCGCTTCTCATTAGTAACATTAAGTTTAACACGTTCAGCAAATGCAGTTGGAAGTGCTATCAGCAAGTAATTTGTCGCCTATTAAGATGCTCAATGTGTTCCAAACAATTGACAATTTTGGCATCACGAGCAGATTAGCACCACTCTGCCTCGAGCAGAACCAATTACCACGATTTTTATGTAAACACCTATCGACTTTCAACAAACTAAACTTGACGGCAAACTTGTTCTTTTGTTGTCGGTTTTGGCTCCGAACTGAGTGTCCGGGAATTCATTAAGAAGTCGTTTTGTACGGTTTATTTTTAGGCTGCGAGCGATTTTTCGTCTTCACACCTTTGCAAGTCGTGCATTTTTATTGCGTCTGTTGTTTCACTTGTAATCGGGTTTTCAATGTAACACATATGCACGCAACCATCGCAGGTGCTTGATGGAATACAAAATTGGATAATTTATGGAATTTTGAAAATTACCTAGAAGTGATCCCCACCGATGTGGGCGGGCCAGTAGAATCCTCGAAAATTGAGTAGAAACGCCTACCTAGTTGACTCCCAATTTACCCAAATATTATCTAACCGATGCGTGGAACGATTCACAATTGAATCTTGCGTGGAATTGATAAATTTTTGTGGCCGATAAACACTTGACGTTTTCGCCAACAATTCAGTGAAAAATCTGGTGAATTAACTGATTTATCGTCGCAATTATAAAATGCACTCAAATTCGATAGAAACACTTAAAACGCAATTTCAACTATCAGCAACAATCTGATGCAGATTAATGAAAGATTTATATCGATGCTTCTTTTTGCCATCCAGTCAGTAAGGCAGTAAAGCAAAATACCGAAAAAATCAACATCAGGAAAAAATTACTTTCCACGCAAAACTCATCAAGCTGTTTTCGAGCCTTTTCAAACCAAACACTGCTTAAAAACTGGTGCGTTTTTTGGCTTTTAGGTCGTCGTAGACGAATGTCTTCCTTACTTCCTTCTTCAGCGATGAGCCACAAGTGACATTTACTCCTTCTAACTTAATTTTGCCTTTCCGATAATTTGCTAGTTGCTCCACTTGATATGCTGATGCTGAGTTTTCAATTGAAAAACGTGGGAATTTACAGGTTTTGAAGTGTTTTAGGCCAGTTTCCATGCAATTATAGTTCTCGGCTGCACCAAAGTTGTTTTTCTCGTACTTATGAGTGAGATAATCAGCAGATAAGCGGTATCCACTTGAAGCATCTGCGTCTGAAAGACTCCAAGTAGGGACGCACAAGGTTTCAGTTGCAATGCAAATTACCCGACATGAGACAACTGCAATAAAAGCCTGAATTTTCCTTGTTGAAAAACCGCAGCGACGCTCCATTTGCGGTTTGACGTGGAAAGAAGATATTCATTAACTGATTTCCGAGTTTACCAATTAAGTCAACAATCCGCCCTAACCTTGTCGCGGAAATATGGTGCTTTTGCCAGTGGCTAGTTAGTAATTTGCTTTTTTTGCCTCCTGCTAAATCTGACACTATTAAATTGTCGATCACGGTCTGTTTCACTATCAATAACACCGCTATAAAGAAGTAAATGGCGTTAATCGAGCACAAAGGTGGGGAAAATTAATGCGGCTTTTTCATTTCGTATCGACTAAGCAACCAATCTGGCCATATTGTGAAGCTGAAGTAATTAACATACTTCTGCAACATGACCCTGATGTAGAAAACATCTCGTTTCGATTGATTTGCATTGAAAAAGCTCAACTGATGCCGTTTTTTCCGAGTTGAGAGGCCAACCTGATATTGCTCATATTAGTGGGTTTTTATTAGCGAAAAACTGGGGAAGGTTCAGGGCTTCGCTTTGTCCAGCAAATCGCTTCTAGTCGATTAAAACCCGACTTGAGTAGTCATTCATTGACTAAACAACTAAAAGAACTTGCGAAACGAACAGGATGCCTATAACATTAATTTCACAAATGGGTTCGACCAAGTGCTTGAAAGGATTTACTTTGTTTCTCGCTCATTTATTACATTGCCATTGCTTCGGTAATTGAAACAGGGTCATTTGGCCGACAAGACACGCAAACGCAAGCTCTGGCAAGATTTTCGAAGTTTTCGCAGAAAACACCAAAAAAACCATTGTGGGGCCGGAAATGTTTGCATTCCTCTTGGGTCACATCAACCGACTGATGATTTTCCTCTAAATATAAACCAACCCCCATGAAGGCCGAAGGCCTCAGTTTAGCGTCACCGTTAAATAAACACGTTTAATTAGCCGTTAATTAGTCTAAGAATCAATTACCTTAATGATTACCACACTAAACAAAAGGTAATTATTTTATTATTTGTGGGAATGCGATATTTGAATAATAACAATAATCAGCACCATTAAAGTGGCTTAAGTATTTACACCCACCCACCACCTGATGGATTTTTAGCGAAAGATTAGCTGCATTCTAATTAAATCTCATCTCGATGAATGGGGAAATTGCTGGCATGGACACTCTCCATTGAACACCATGTATACAATGTAGGCGCGATTTTCTCCAGTGAAGTTTCAGCCAATCAACCATAACATAACATAGTTTTTAGCTGAATCAGAAGATCAGAATTTGCAATGGGTTTTGAATACACATTTTTATAAGCAGCCATAGACGATCCTTCACGATGCAGATCCTCGATAGCCACAGAGAAAAAACCAGTGAAAAAACCAAAAAAAGACTATGTCTACTTACGGTTAAAGGCGGAAGAACTGCTTCTTTTTCTTGAGAGGTTAAGTATTCCTGATCAGTCTAATGAGAGATGGATAGTTAACGAGATGCTCTATCAAGAAGCTCCTAATGACTGATTCGATATTTTCAATCGTTTCCGAGATACAATGGAAAATTTTCAATAACACACCAAAAATGTGGATATCTGTCTGGAGGTTCGGTATTTTGCGCGACGCATGAAGACTCGAGTCTCGAAACGCTCTATAAAATTATATTGCGTATTTTGAATCGTTTTTCAGACCTGGGCGGTTTTAAACTTCGAAGACGCAGGAAAATTAGACAGTTTTGCTTCTGCCTCTCGATTGCCAAAACGATTCTCCCAAAAGATCATATTTTCAATCGTTGCAGTGAGAAAACCTATTGAACTTGACCATACGCCAAAATAGTGATATTTTTCCTTCTAACTTTGAAACAATAATAATTTTCCAGTAAAGATATCTCGAGATGCTCCATCGAAAAGGTCCTAATGATTATTTTGATAAATTTCTCCGTTTCCGAGATATAATTGAAAATGTTTCATAATTCTCTCTCTTGCGCCTCTCTGGAGGTTGGCAACTTTGCTCAACATCTGAGGAGGAAAATTCAGCTCTCGAAACTCCCTATCAAAATGGTTCTGAATATTTCAGATATTTCCCAGATATGAGCTGTTTTAATTCTTTACAATTTCTCATTTTTGATCTTTGGAGGTTATAAACCTCTGATAGTCGTCGAGACGAACCGTCAAAAACCTACTGACGATTCACTCGAAAGTTAGACACTTTTCTTCCTATCTGTTTAGAGGTTAGACACTTATGATGGATCTTTTATGAATGAAAAACTGTTCTCCACTGGGACTATAAAAAAAATCCAAAAAAATGTTTGGAAAAATCCGTTTTCAAATATTCAAACACGAATGCTTCCATCTCTTTTGAGGTTAAAAATTCCATCATGGCCCTTAGCGACAAAAAAATGGCTCTCGACGCATTCCATCAAAATAGCTCCATATGTATAAACCTTCTGAGTTCTAAGCTCTTGAAGCGATTTTGGCTTGCATCCTTTTAAGGGTTAGAAGTTCGAAGAAGAAAATGACAGATTTGAAGGAATGCAAACGACCAACAGAGTCTAAACTGCCAGACCTAAAACATCTAAAGGAAAATATATCGCGGAAAAATTGCACTTTTGATAATAATTCCACTTAATTCCCGCATTATCAGTTCGGTTATCTCATGGGTTAACGTGTAGTTTGTTAAAGCATTACACCTTTAGTTCCTTATCCACCAAATATTACAATTATCAACTAATTAACGTGTGCGACTAGCGAATGCATTGTCTGATAAGATGCGACGATGTTCGCGCTTTACTTGAAGATGACTACATTTCCACAAGGCCAACAGTACCAATCAAAGTGACACAACAACGTACAGGGGACTTCCCATCTTATCTACTAGCTACGTTTTCTTTAATTTGCACAGTAATTTTCAATTAATAAAACACAATAAAACAAGTCGAAATTGATTCAGCCACCCCATGGCCGCCCCGCTCACCAGATCCATCATACTTTGACTTTTATCGTTGATGTTTAATTAATGCCAATAATTGCGAAACGCAACCCGCACCAATTAATTAAAGCAAATTGCTGAGAATATCGACTATTTACAAAGAACAAACAGAAGAGAAACACTGAGTCTGAATTAGTCAAATTTGGCCTTTGTTTCTCGGCAAATAAAAGCTGCCAAGGCGAAACGCTCGTGTAACTTCCTGAATACATAAATCAGTTTAAATTGTCCAGAAAAAAAATTAAAACAAACGAAGATCACCAGGAAACCGGGAAAATAATAACCAGCCTAATCTCGCTTAGTGTTTTTTCTGCTGCAAGATTAAACAGGCATACTAAATCGAAGGTTTCGCAGAAATTATCGTTAAAGTGTTCCGAATCGAAACCATCCTGCGGTTGGCGTTCCACCGTGAACCCGATCGAAAATGATCCAACAAAAGTTGTTTCGATCTAAGAGCGACTTGCCAGTGCTATTATTTATTTGCTTAGTACTGCCTTTCCCAGATCGTGCAAAAAAAATCTTCAACAAAGAGATAGGTACCGATTAATTGCTAATTAACATGTTTACGTAATGCCAGACCAGACCGTTCTAGCAGGCGAATATTATACAGTGCGACCATGAAAATCGAACTTTTTCTCTTGAACATGAACGAACTAGGAAACGGTTAATATCGTTAAAAATGGAAAGTCATAATTTTTAGACTGATTAAAAGTTACTCGAACCAGATGGAATGCTGCAGGCCATTTTGCAATCGGTTACTCTCACTTATATAACTCAGGGCTGGGTTTGACCAATTCTCAGTCTGTCAGCGACAAGGGCAAATTTATGCTGGATATACGTACGCATACTGCCTTTCAAGTACACTAAATAAATCAATGCAAATGTTGGCTGTTTGATTTAGTTGCAATTAATCTCGATGCGGCCCTGAACAGGTGTTTTTTGCGCTCCTGTAATTGGACGAAAAGAGCTCGAGCACCCAACAATTCAATGCCAATATCGCAAGTTTAAGGTTTTGGAGCCCAATGCGATCGCTTAGGTAACGATCACTGCAAAGCCATTCCAATAAAAAGATACTTACATGATTGCAGCAAACGATGCGTGGAAGATCTTGATCTTGTGCACTAACACTAGCACTCAAGCCAACACTAAACATTTCTTCTATTAAGCCCCAACTACGCCAAGTGTGTTTTAGTCTGGAAATGAAGAAAAATAGCTTCGGTTTGCCTTAATTGGTTCACTAAATTTTCATTCGGCCCTTTTCCGTTTGCTGTTTGCGGTTTGTTCGACATTTCTACATATTGGGCTACCCTGTAGTAATTTGTTATTCACCAAACATTTCGCAATATCGATTCTGCCAAATTACTTGTGAATTGTTATCAGAGCGTCATGATCACATGTCAAGGAGGCTTAAAACAAATGGTTTTGTAACAGGCGAATATTTCTAGAATTTAAGTAATGCGATTTTGTCGATCAATCGACAATGTCAGTTGTGTTGTTAGATTGTTTAATTTACTATATCTAAACCGGTCTTATGTAAAATTATATTTTAGATAACCAAAATCTTTCATCCCGGTAGTTCCGTTTAAGGCCCGCTAAGGTTATGGGAAAACAAAAATATAAAAAACTTTGTATGATGGCAAACACTAACGCGAATGACACGCATGTTATGAATATTTTGCGGTTATTATAATTATACGGCGCATCAGATCCTTCACTATGAATGAAAAAAATGAAAAGACGATTTTTCAAGACAAATGTTATCAATGTTGTCTTTGTGGCTTTATGGTCGATTTTCTTTTGAAAAAACAGCTTTTTGCATGTGGAAATTTTCTGCATAACTGCTAATATCGGGCCGATTTGAAATATTGTGGAAAAACGTACGATTTTCTATAAAAACTGCATCTCGGAAAATTGCAATCGGTTAAGGTCGAAAAGACGATTATCCGAATAAAATGCTCTGCCCTTGGAAAAATGTCGACCAAAAATCAAAATTTCACATGCGTATTTTTTGAGCTCAATCGATTCCTTTCGACGTAATAAAGTGTTTGGGTCAATAATAAGAAAGAAATGGTCGGCTAAAGATCGTGATCTCTCAAAAAATGCTTAAATAAAATTAAAATAAAAAAAAATTGAAAATTTTTATTTTTTCAAAAAAGCAAACGAGATAAGAGATGTATCGAGTCCTCAAGGCACGCCACTGATTAGAAAGTATACAAAAAACAACGAAAACAGCTTAATTTTTCGGTTTTTCGGCACACGTTTCGTATCAAAGTGTTTTGAATCTCTAAAATGTTTCCTATAAAATGAGCAACTTTTTCTTTAGGACGTTGTACTCAGTTCTTAGAGCACGTCACTGATTAGACAAAGCGCATTAAAACAGAGAAAACAACACAATTTTTGTTGTTCCTTTTGGGCTGTGCCTTCGCACAACTTTAACCTCAATCTAATAAATCAAAACTGAAAAAAACGCCAAAACGCTATGACAGCTAGACATTGAAGAAGTTGACTATAACATCGTGCACTGTCATAAAGGCGTTGTCAATGTAATAATTTTGACATAAATCGGCGGTCAATGTCACTTGCAGTGACATAATTTTGAATGCTCCTAGCCCACTTAATTCAAACCTTTTCAGCTAAAAATGGCGACTTTTACTCACGAAAACCGGTAACTTTTCTACATGTTAACAAAATGCGTTAAGCAAGTTTTCTTGGCCAATAAAGACATGGAAAGTTCCCTTAACTTCACTGGGAAGTTTTATGAAATGGATCAACTAATTTACGACACACGTTTAATTTCGTTTGTTCTTTTTTTGTAAAACAACAACAATCAAGTGTACAGTTAGTCGAAGCAAATCGTGCGCAAATTTTCCATCGGTATGCGCTGAAGCAAGTCCCCGTCCGACTTAATAACTTCCTGTTAATGTTTTTGCTTTCCGCAATATTGGGTTTTTTCTGTGCTATTTCGACGCACCAATAAGGAAGTGGGACCTTTTGCGGTCACCGGACTACGTGCCTGACCCTAAAATCTCCTACTTGTTCCAGAATAGGACTGGCCATTCCCATGGACGGGGAAATGTTGCATCGTTGTCTCATGTACGATGTCAACTACACGGAAATCCTGCGGGATGGACTTAAGCGTCCCGATCCCACTTGGCAAACTGTCCATTGCAAAAATGGCTGGGAATACAACAGCACCGAGGTGCCATATTCTACCATTGCTATTGAGGTGAGTCCAAAACAACTTTATATGAAAAGCGATCAAAATCTTAAAGATACAGCGGTTTTCTCATTGAAGGCATCAGAGATTCTCCTCTAAAACTCTGTACTGATAAACTCAAACAAAAATCCTATTGACACGTAAAAAAGCCATCGATTATGGGCATATAATGGTTACGAGTCGTGTTTCCGTCACGGCACTCAAGTGCTAATAGCAGCGCATTGTTGACTTTGAGACGCTGTTTTTGCGCTAATAGCTGATAGGACTGAGAGTTTCTGGATATTTAGAACGACTGGGTGTGCGACAATGCAGCGCTGCCCAGCACAGCGCAATCAATCTTCTTCTGCGGCGCCATTCTGGGCGGATTGGTGTTCGGTTGGATCGCCGACCGCATGGGCAGGATTCCGGCTTTGGTAGGCACCAACCTAGTGGGCTTCATCGGGGGCATGGCCACCACCATGTGCTCCTCATTCTGGACTTTTGCAGTTTGCCGCTTCCTGGTCGGAATGGCCTTTGATAACTGCTTCACCATGATGTACATTTTAGGTGAGTTTCATCCATTTAACATCAGCTTGGGACGTGGTAACTCAA